AAACTATAAACCCAACACTCGCTAGACAAAACCACGCTATGTCAACTCTCGTGTGCACCAATGTTCCTGAGTCCAATCTGGCACAATAAAAGGCAAGTTGCAAGACGATCGCAACCAGTGGAGTTCCATCTGCGAGGCGATTGGTATTTGGGTTGAGCTTGTAATGCTGCAACGCGTAGCGCGTTGCAGTGCACTCTGGTGAACCTCGAATTTTTCGAGTAACACTAGACTTAGCAGATGAAACAGAGGCTGTCCTGCTCTCAGCAGTTCGTCTTCGTAACTCACCGAGCGAAATGCGCATATTACCTGATCCATCTTGGAATGATCGCCCAAAAGAAGCAGGTGACCAACGCGGCATTCCTAACAGAGATAGCAAGAAAACAATATTTGTTTATGGTGTACCCGAGCTTCGGCTGAAACAACAGCAAGCGAACGGCCAAAAGTCGCAAGCAATTCGATAGAACTTACAAACGTTGCAAATTCTTCATCTGCACAGTCCTGCGGAGAGACCGGCACAACAGCGCCCACGGCACTCAGCAGGACAGAGTACAGCACGAGTGAAACGTCTGTTCAGAAACCCTCAATAATGCCATGCAACTTGACTGACATTCATAAACCAAAAACGATTAATGGCCTACCACCTAACGGCCGACTTAGAAACTAGCACAAAGTTGACATTCCTCAACGCACTCCTAACAACAAAAACCCCATTTTGTATGTACACAAACGCCCAAGCCCTTCTAAGTAAGTTGGCCGAACTTAGAGAACTCCATGCCTCACAACCACAAGACGTCGTCATGATTACAGAGACATGATTAAACCCTGAGATAACCGATTCTGGGATCAATTTACCCGATAAATCGCTGCTTCGGAACGATACAACCGGAATGGTAGTGATATGATTCTTTATTATAATACAAACCTCCGAAGTGCAGTTATCGATCACCCGGAAATCCGAGCTCCTGATTCCTTTGGTGCCAATTATGGTTGCGAAACAAGGACACATGTCTACTAGCCGTGATTTACCGCCAACCAAACTCAACGTACGAAACGGACCCTAACCTGAACCATGTCTTCAGTTTGCTTTGAGCAAGTCCTACACCCACATTGTTATCGCTGGAGACTTTAACGTGCACGACGTAGAAACGCCAGAAATCGACGGTACGCAGTTTAAAGCATGCTTGCAAGATCTAATTACTAGCCACCCTCTGTACAACCACGTAACCTCTCCCACCAGATTTCGAACTGCTAACGAGCAATCGATACTGCATCTTGTGCTCACTGACGAAGAACTAATGGTCAACGGAATAATTACATGCACAGACCCAGGACGTAGTAACCACGTTACTCTACTATTTGACTACATATGTTATGCGAAGTATCCTGCAAAGGAGGATGACAAAGTGCATGCTGTCGCGCACTACAGTGTGTTATCTAAGCTTGTTAAGAATACGTCTTGGTTTTTCTTACCCGAATGCCCCCAGATGTTGCCTGGGAAACCTTTACAAGGAAGTTTAGCACACTGGTAGCGCACGCATCGGAACAGAAGTCCTTCGAACCCAAAAGCAAGCATAAGTCATTTCTGAGGAGCACAACACGTAAATGTCTGTCCCAGAGGAATTTGGCATGGCGAAATCACCAGGACTGCCCGAATGCCGAAACCTTGACTGTATACGTGACACAACGTTACTTCTGTGTGAAACTGATCTGCGAAGACAAGGTCACACATAAGCAGGACTTAATGAAGCGATTCTGCACGAACCGCAAACTTCTGTATAGGCCCGTTAACGGCCTTCGAAAGGTGAAGCGGGGTATTCCAGCACTAGTCATGGCTGATGGGTGCATGCGATCAGCAATAGAAGCAGCTGATTTCCTAGGGCTTCATTACTCCCAAACGTTCCAGCAGGTAACGAGCCTAAATATGCTCCTCATTTCCATTAGTCCACCACCGGGTTTAGACAATATCACCCTCACTGCAGAAGCTGTGTTGAAGAAGCTTTATCCCTGCGCAGCCACAGATCTCCTGGAGTTCACAACATCTGACCAAAGGCTCTGCAGGCGGTAACTAGTGATCTAGCAGAACCACTGGCTGTTTTCTATCAGCGATGTCTAGAATAGAACCATATTCCACCAGTATGGAAGCGAAGGATCATCACTCCTATCCATAAAGGAGGTAGTCGCACTGACCCCACCAACTACCGTCCAATAACACTACTTCCCGTACTATCCAAAGTGATGGAATCAATCATTGCAGATGCGCTGATGCAGTACCTGGAAAGCCACAGCTTAATTGCCCCAGAGCAACGTGGCTTTCGTCAGAAGCATTCGTGTAATATTAACCTTTTAATTGCACGTAATATCTGCACTGAAACTGTTGATGATGGAGTAGGTGTCGATGTCATCTACCTGGACTTCTCAAAAGTGTTTGATCGCTTAGACCATCGAATTCTCCTTCAGAATCTTCGGAACTACGGCATTGGCGACCCAATCCTGAGTTGAATTAGCAATTTTCTACACGAACCACGGCTAGTGGTGAGAGTCCGAGAATCATTGTCTGATGCAATCGATGTGGCGTGTGGAGTACCACAAATCTCGGTGCTTGGACCTCGTTTATTCTTGGTGTTCCTTAACGATTTGGCGAGATCAATTGCTCCCGATTTCCTATTTTTCTCGGATGATATAAAGATATGGCGAAGGATCAGAGGACCGGACGACCACGAACAACTCCAGTGCGATCTTAACACAGTGTCGAACTGGTCAGTTCAGAGCGGCCTTCCATTCAACGTAGACAAATGTCGCGTTGTGCAATTACGCCATCGATATAACTACACCTATTTGCTTGGGACAAACGGATTTCAGACCAGCTACCAGGAATGTGACCTTGGTGTGCTCGTACAGAGTGACCTCAACTGTTCAAAACAGGCTGAGGTAGCTGCGAATAGATGCAACCAGCACGTCGATATGCTGCGAAAGACATTCGAGTGATTCAACCCTTCAGTCTACCCAATGATGCACAATTCCTACGTACGCCCAAATGTTGAATACGCTATCCAAGCTTGGCAACCTTAGTTGAAGCGCAATTTAGAGCGGTTAGACGCACCACAACGAAAAGCAACGTGAATGTAAAGGGCGTGTGCTATCACTCTTACCACCGGAGGCTGAAGTTGCTGGAAATTTTCAGCGGCCGCTACCGAAGTCTGCGCGGCGATCTCATATTAACGTATCAGATATTGAGTGACCCCAACCACGTATGCCGCCATTTGCTGAAACGTAGCAACAACGCGCAGCTCAGGGGTAACTGCTTAAAATTGAAGGAACAATATAGCCGTCTAGAGTGTCGACGTAATTACTTTTCCCTTCGGGTTTGCTAACCCTGGAACGCACTCCCAGACTCAGTTGTATCCTTCCCTACCTTGGACGTTTTCAAAAACGATTAGACTTGCTCTTTACTAGCAGCACTTTGTTACGTTAACTCCTCTATTGTGGACTGCGCCAAGCATACTTTTCAACAATATTTATGTATCAAATGGACCCAAGTGAGCGAGCATATTTTACGTTTCTCACTCCTTATATCAACGATCACTGCACTACAGTGTCTTTCTGAACGTTTACACTTGATTTTTTTAATTTTACACTGATGTTATTTATCAAAGTATTCATCTAGGCAGACGTTTGGTAGATGACCCACATATATTTTGATTTCGTCATATTCACCCCAACCATCCTACGGGACGTGTCAAGCACTTGGTTTTATCCCGTGATAAATCATTGTTCATTGTTTATCTACGGAACCTAGGTGATTACCAATGGTGGAAGAACAGACGATGTGCTCCCACAATCTCCACTTTCTTATTTGCTTACCTGGAATTATGAAGAAAATTTTCTGCTGCATATTTGCTATTGTCTGTTTTGAGCTTTCAGAAGTTTGCAGTTACTCATAGGGTGGTCATTGTGCCTGCCATGTATCAAAACGGTTACTTTCTGACCCTCTCCAACCAGATATGCACATTTTATGACTCAGGTAAACTGTGAGCGCCTGAGTGGGGATATCCCATAGTCTGCTTTTGTTGCAATAAGCAAATCTCATCCATAATGTGTTACCGTCAAGAATTTGGTTGCATGCATCTGAAACATGAACTGCATAGACGGTAAGATCAAAAGAGATGCCGACGGTTGGATGCTGAATTTTCGCTAGGAATCACCACAACGACATTTGCTGAACCCGGCTAACTGCCTGTTTGCTCATCTCTTCATACACTTCGCGCATTGTTCCTCCGTCCTTCATTGAAGCTTCACAAAGCGGATTCACGGCAGCAGTCACTGTCACAAGTGCGCATTATGCCTGCCCACCACTAAGTACTCCTCCATTTTGCCATGTAGCTCTCCACTCGCCGTAAATTTAAGGTAGCCCGTAAGAACCTGCCACAGCATGTTGGTAATATTACTGTACACTCAATAACATACGGCTGTCTGACAAGTTTCTGTGTTAACAGAGCACATACCGTTGGATGTGGTTAGGTGGTAATGTACAAAAGCCCGTGTGAATCGTTGCACCGACCGTGGTTTGTGCACCCTTTCGCAGGCACGGTGATTTGAACCTTGGGAACGTATATAGTGAATACTTGGTTGCTTCTGAAAGCGGATATCATTGAGATTTGTCATTATTGATTTTAGGTGTTCATTCGAATGATACTGCGGTTCACTTTCGGTTTGATTTTTGTTGGATCCGGAGGTACTGCGTATTGCTCAATTTCCTAGTAAATTTATCGCCTATAAGGTGTTTTCATCGAGTAAAATGAAGCGAGTGGAGTTCGTAAGTTATCGGGTAAAAACCAGCCACTAGTTAAAATGTTATCTGAAAAGGAGGTCTGTTGGTCTGTTGCTCCTCTGTGCTCATGGTAACGGGGCGTGTTCTGCATGTCACAATTAATGGGCTCACATCGGACCCAAGGCGATACTCGCAACCATACTAAATCTGTGAATCATTTTTGCTGGCTTACCTGCATTGAGTTGGTGCTAAAAAAGGAAGATACAAAAGGAATTGTCCCGATATTTTGAAAATTCACGCTGAAAACAACGATAGTATGATCCTAACATGGAATATGAAATAAAAATGTAATTGTGACAAGTTATCACTTGTTAAAATTGACTACCTAATCGGTTTTCGGCCCCGAAACGAATGTCGCCTCATAGCCAGAGGCCCCACTGTTTCAGACGCATCACAACAACCTGTTGCCTGAGATATGGAAAGTAGTGATGGAAAAGTGGTGCATTAAACAATGACCGGCGTTAAAAGAACCAGATTTCGGGTACGTTATTGTTCCTTTTACTTTGGAAATGCTGTGTTATTCGTGTTTTCTCTGTGAAATTTGCAATAATATTTTTCCATCCGTGCGAATTTGGTGGATATTCTGCGACTACTGTCGGCGAGCTCACTGATTGGCCAAACTACCGTCTGTGTCCGCCATCTCGGATTAGTCCAACAGCAATCAAAAGGGTGTCTGCCAGATCACTAGCTTAACCGACGGTGTTTGGATTCAGCATATTAGTGCAGACGTTGCAACGAACAGCTTTCGTAACTCTGACAGCCATAATGGCACGTACTGATTTCCTACGGAAAGCTAAGCCCAAAGCTTCGGAAACAAATGTTAGTTTGGCGTAGACAGCTGTGTAAAACTTGTGCGGTTTGGAATAGAATGCAGAAACTGCGGAAAGTGCTTCCATCCTCGATGTGCTCGTCTTGGTCTCAGCAAGATAAAAAAGCTTAATAGTACGACTGATGCTCTCTGCTTCTGCACTGAGTGTACGTCTCCTTCACTCGTCAGATGTATAACTGTGTTGGCGCAGAAGTACGATAGGCTGACAGATTGTAGAGCAGACAGGAGCAATTAAAGCTGTCCCACATGAACCAGAAAAATCAGTGCCTCGAACTCGATGCTCAACCTCAAGCTGCAATTCAGCACAGTTTAAGAGTAACCTTCCAGAGTTAGCCACTACGACACTAGCGTCTGCTCATAAAGATACGTTCGCCACACATTCCTCAACAGAATCACCCGCCACACTAGACAATTTTAGAGGGCCGACAACCTACATGCCCGTTGTTGCTACCCATATGACGGAGGCATCGCCCATAGAAAATCCGCCCGCTGCCAATACCACCACGGGCCTCAAGACCCCATCATTCGTCCAATCGACGAAAGCAGCCACTGGTCCCTCCGAAAAGGAGAACATAAAACACTACCATAATTCTCCAACTGTTATAGGCTACAATGTGAATGAATCCGGTGCGAACACTATAAAAGCTAAGATACTTGACGATAAAAAGCAGTGGGACTCCCTGTGTCAAGTAATAGGCGTTCAAGCTAAACCAGTCAGTAGGATGCGTCTTGTCCGTCAGCCAAACTCCGTACACTATGGTGAACTACGGTTACTCCAGGTAACACTTCAGTCAGGTAATGATGCAGATGCAGTTCTCTTGCCAACCACTCGCCTCCGCGCTGTTCGAATATTTCCAGATATTTCTTGGAGTGAACGACAGAAACTCAGCTTAAATCCGGATGACTTCCGCAAGTAAAAAGATATAATATCGATCCTTCGTCACAGCCTCCCCAAGCTCCAGACGTTGAGCGAGCTAGAGGCTACAGCGCATGAATGAAATGAATGTCATTTTATTCGTCAAGTGCAATCACTCGAAAACGTTATCGTTAATTTGACATCAAGATTACCGATATCAGATTACTACAAAGAGTGCGGTTTCGAGGGATGAAACTAACATTGCAATCCAAACTGATGGTAGAAAATGTGATCTAAATGTAGCACAACTTGCGTAAAATGCTGCCATCAGAAATACCTATGAAGATGATAGACACTAGGCCACAAATAGAAACGTTGACATCGGGCAATCTGTTCACCTGTACAAAACCACCATCTTACAGCCCAGAACATTAAGAGTGTCAAAACACGCCGGCAGCTGAAGGCGGACAGGGTGATCATCTTCTTGCTGGCACTGAGTGCTCTACACAACAACGCGGAATAACCCAAGGGCCTGCGTCGGCAGTCCCATAAAAGACGACAGGCAGCCGACCCCACAAAGATCGGCGTCGATCCTGACCGGAAATCAGCATTCACTAACACGCTTCTAACCTCTTATGCCTTCATCTGCGTGTATACCAATGCACAAGGTCTCCTCATCAAGCTAACCGAACTTCCTATTCGTCAGGTCTCCACGCCTTGGAATATAGATGTGGTCGCCAAAACATGGATGAACACGGAGATCATTGATGCGGAGATTGCTCTACGCGGCATGCTTTCAACACGAACCGATCAACCTAGCAGAGGTGGCGGAGTGCTCCTGTTTCACCGATCCGACCTTCATGTAGACATAATCAACGATCCAGAAACACTAGTTGTCGATTCTCTTTGGTGATTTATGCACCTAAGATGTGGTGATGCATGTTTGCTAGCAATAGTTTACCGCCCTCCAATGTCCACATCATCATCATAAATACACACGTTAGCTGCAGGTGGAAATCACCTCAGCTATTCTACTGCAACACAACAGACAAGAAGAAAAAACAAGATAAACACGCCGGCTGAGTCCCCAGTAACGGACGGACATCGTTCCGGAGAGCTAACGGCCGCCTATCGTGCCGCAACACGTTATATTTTGCTTAACGAGTGAGATCGTGATTGAAGGGGAGGCTTAGCAGGAGGGGGACGGACAAAGGAACGCATACCACAAAAGGCATTGGGGCCGGCTCCTAGCCATATCAGCAAGTGTGTCCAACCAAAGGTGTTCATCGACCTTAGGACCCCAGCCCGGCAGTCACGAGGCACCAACGGAGGCTAACTCCGAAGTGAGGGTTCTCATTTCTCTCGACCAATTCATCGCATGTCCTCCCCTCTTCCAACCGCACGCTCGGCGCGCAAACAATGCACGTCGCGGGAGTCGGTGTGCTGGCATGCGCAACACATGGTCCAACCAACGGAGCCTGGTGCATGATATAATGCTTTTGAGCGATTCACTCCCTCTTCTTTGCACCAAATACTCGACACCGCGCACGCCCATTGGACACGCAGAGCTCCCACAAGATATGAGCTAAGCTGCGAAGGCAGCAATGATCGAACGTGACCAGCTTCATTACATCAGTCAACCTGAAGGGCCAGGTTTCAAAACCGTATAACATCGTTGAACAGAACGATCAATTTCATAGGACGACAGCCAATTTGTGGAAAAGGGAAATTTGGTAAAACAGAATAAACAATGTCCGGAAGGCTTCGTTTCGCTTGTGTGAGTAGTTTCCTTGGTTGCAAGAATAGGTTAGCCAAACCAGATTGTGGATATAGGAGGCAACACCTAAACACACACTATTTTACTGTATCACTTGTTTAGTAATCATTATTCTACCTGTTAACCGTACTTATGGCAATTGCGTCTCTCTTCTTATATCGCTTTCGTTCAAATATGGATGCCCCAGATTTAAGGTGTTAAAGGAAACCCCAACAATTCGTCTTAGAGACTTATTCGCATGCCTGTGCAATTGGCTATTAGCCTGACCTCAAAATGATACCCATTCACGTTGTTAATACTATTGTTCATGCGCTCTAATTTGTCTCTATCCAATTTGTGGCAGTTCATATTTAACTCTGGACGAGCGCATGCGCATATGTTACATTCGAACTGCCATTGAACATGAATGACGACAATGCATGATGACAATCCATGTATATATGTATATCGAATGAATTCGACGAGGATACTCATACCGCTTTTGTACGGCCAACTTAGTGCAGGAATGCGGCACTGGGGCAAACCGAAAAGAACATTACCAGGACATAAACAAGGTGAGTTTATGACAAACTAATTTTGATTTCAGGTGTTGTAAATTCAAAGAAAAGTTGGTCGAGGCGAATTCCGTGGACTGATCAAAAGGGCGGTTGCACAGGTGCAGGAGAACGCACTATTGCACGCGGAATAGAAACACCATGAGTACGCTCCCATTCGATTACTAATCCAGGCCAATGAGGCCGCGTATGTAGAACGCTTGCCTGCGTGCTGAATAATCTTACACTTCAGAAGTGGATGTTATTTGAGCTCCCCAGTGTGGCTGCATCTGATGTGAATGTTGACAAGGTATCTACCTGTCTGCTCCCCTCCACCTCGATTGCTGGCTCCAGGAAGTCGTTGCTGGAGGGGACGGGGTGCACCGTCCTCATGACGGTGCTAGGTCCAAAGAGTGGTTCCATCCTGTGTGGAACGGGTTACGGTCCAGCCACCGTCTTGTGAACGGCTAGTGTGCATGATTTCATAATTAGGCCGGAATGCTTCTGTTCTGCTTGTTGAAGAAGTGTGGGCCGGCTCCGCTGATGAAACCTGGCTTCCATTCACTTGTCTCCTGGTCTTATCCTTCAGGTTTACACCGGTTATGGGGAGTGTGGGTGGAACTGTGGGTGCTGCAACGCAAGCCACCCATGGTCCTCTTAGTTGGCGCAGGCGTACTGTGGCTGTCCGCATAGAGGCCACGGTGACAGACAAATCCGGATACGGACGCCGCCAAAACATTAACCATATGGTTGGTGCTGTATTTGGGAATCAAGCGCACACGAGGCGGTGGCTGGACCGTAGTGCGCTCCACACAAGCCGTGTGCATGGGACCACCCTTCCAGGCTAACACGGCCACAAGGACCGCGCACTCCGATCCCTGCAGCAACGACCAACTCTCCCCTGGACCCAATATGGACGAGGCAGTGGGTAACAGACAGGTAGCCGCGTTGTCAACATGCAAATCAAGCGCAGCCACACCGGAGATATCAAGCAATCGGCAATCACTTGAAATGACGAGAGCAAATATAATAAATCGGATAGTGTATACAGATACGGTGGCATAACTCATCACTAAATGAGCGTATAGAAGATGATTATGAACGATTCTGCGATAGGATCAAGAGGTCAAGAAACATATTTTAAAAAGACGCCACAAACGAGAAAATGTCTTCGAAATTAACGACAATTAGTT